AGTCAGTTTAACTCTGCCACCAAAACAAGACAAAGACTCATCAAGGAAAGAGAACTACAGACCAATATCCCCGATGAATATAAATGCAAACATCCTTAGTAAAATATTGCAAACCCATTCAAAAACACCTTAAGAGGATAGTATACCATGATCAAGTGGTTTTCATCCCAGGGAATGCAAGGTTGATTCAATATACTCAAATCAATAAATACAATTCACCACATAAATAGAATTAAGGATAAGAATCATATGATCATCTCAATATATGAAAGCAAAGGCGTTTAACAAAATCCTGCACCCATTCATGTTAAAAACATTGGATAGATCGTAGCCAACTTTTTCTTCTATCAGACGCAGTGTCTCTGATTTGATATCTAGGTCCTTGATCCATTTTGAAGAAAAAGTTGGCTACGATCTACATACTGTGGGGTTGGGCTCCAAATTCCTTAATAGGACGCCCATAGCCCAAGAGTTAATAACAAGAATAAATAAATGGGACTTACTTAAACTAAAAAGTTTTTTCTCAGTAAGAGAAACAATAAGAGAGGTAAATAGAGAGCCTACATCCTGGGAACAAATTTTTACCCCTCACACTTCAGATAGAGCCCTAATATCCAGAGTATACAAAGAACTCAACAAATTAAACAATAAGATAACAAATAACCCAATCAACAAATGGGCCAAGGACCTGAACAGACACTTCACAGAGGAGGACATACAATCAATCAACAAGTACATGAAAAAATGCTCACCATCACTAGCAGTCAGAGAAATGCAAATCAAAACCACCCTAAGATACCATCTCACTCCAGTAAGATTGGCAGCCATTATGAAGTCAAACAACAATAAGTGTTGGCGAGGATGTGGGGAAAAGGGTACACTTGTACACTGCTGATGGGACTGCAAATTGGTAAGGACAATTTGGAAAGCAGTATGGAGATACCTGGGAAGGCTGGGAATGGATCCACCATTTGACCCAGCTATCGCCCTCCTCGGACTATTCCCTGAGGATCTTAAAAGAGCGTACTATAGGGATACTGCCACGTCAATGATCATAGCGGCACAATTCACAATATCTAGACTGTGGAACCAACCTAGATGCCCTTCAATAGATGAATGGATTTAAAAAATGTGGCATCTATACACAATGGAGTACCACACAGCACTAAAAAATGACAAAATCATAGAATTTGCTGGGAAATGGATGGCATTAGAGCAGATTATGCTAAGCGAAGCTAGCCAATCCTTAAAAAACAAATGCCAAATGTCTTCTTTGATATAAAGAGAACAACTAAGAACACAACAGGGAGGAAGAGCATGAGGAAAAGATTAACATTAAACAAAGACGAGTGGGGGGAGAGAAAGGGAGAGAGAAGGGAAAGCATATGGAAATGGTAGGAGACCCTCAATGTTACACAAAATTACATAGAAGAGGTTGTGAGGGAAAAGGGGTGGGGGAAACAAGGGAGAGAATTGAACAACAGCAGATGAGGTAGAGAGGGAAGATGGGAGGGGAGGGGAGGGGGGATAGTAGGGGATAGGAAAGGTAGCAGAATACAACAGTCACTAATAATCCCATTATGTAAAAATGTGAGTGTGTAACCGATGTGATTCTGCAATTTGTATTTGGGGTAAAAATGGGAGTTCATAACCCAATTGAGTCAAATGTATGAAGGATGATATATCATGAGCTTTGTAATGTTTTGAACAACCAATAAAAAAAAAAACATTGGATAAACTAGGGAGAGAAGGAACTTACCTCAATATTATAGAGGATAAATACGAGATGCCCAAAGCCAACATCATACTGAATGAAGAAAATCTGAAAGCATTTTCTTTAAAAGCAGGAATAAGACAAAGATGACCACTCTCACTAATTCCATTCAATATAGTCCTTGAAGCATCAGGCAAAGCAACTAGGCAAGAAAAAGAAATTAAAGGGATACAAATAGAAAAGAAGTCAATTTATTTCTGTTTGCTTATGACATGATCCTATATGTAGAAGACCCAAAAATCTCCATTAGAAGACTTCTATAGCTTGATATACTAATTCAGCAAAGTATAGGATACAAGATCAACATTCATAAACAAATAGCTTTCCTACACTCAAATAGTAAATCTGTAGAGAAAGAAATAAGGTAAACTATACTGTTCTCAATATCTTTTGGAAAAAAAAACTTGAATAAATCTAAACAAGGAAGTGAAATGTCTCTACACAGAAAACTGAAGAAAGAAATTTAATTCCTTAGAAGATGAAAAGGCCAAAGATCTCCCATGTTCTTGGATAGGCAGAATTAATATTGTTAAAATTATTATATTATCAAAAGCATTATAGAGATTCAATGTATTCCCCATCAAAATATCAATGGCATTCTTCAGAGAACTGGAAAAAGTCCTAAAATTTATTTGGAAGAATTAGAGACCCAATTCTGAGCAAGAAGAATGATGTTAGAAGCATCACAATACCTGATCTCAAATTATACTACACATTTATAGTAGCAAAAATAACATGGTATTGGCATTAAAAAAGACATGAATACCAATGGAAGAGAATGGAAGACACAAAGACAAATCCACATGGTTATAGTCATCTGATATTTGACAAAGGTGCCAAAAACATGACAGAGAAAAAGATAGCCTTTTTAACATGGCTCCGGGAAAACTAGATATCCATATGTAGAAGAATGAAACTAGAGCCCTATCTCTCACCCTGAACAAAATGTAATAAAAGTGGATCAAAGACTTAGTAATTAGACCAGAAACCCTGCAACTTATATAAGAAAACATAGGTTGATATTCCAACATACTGGCACAGTCACCAACTCCCTTAACAAGACCCCTAAAGCTCAAACTCAAGCAATAAAACTAAGAATCAATAATGGTATCAAATTAAAAAGCTCTGCACAGCAAAGAAAATGATTTCAAGAGTGAAGAGAGAGCCTACAGAATGGGATAGAAAAATCTTTGCCAGCTATTCCTCTAACTGGAGATTAATATCCAGAATATATAAAGAACTCTAAAAAAACTTAATACCACAAAAATAAATCACCCAGTAAATAAATGTACAAAAGAACTAACGAGATATTTCAAGGAAGAAGAAACACCAATCGTCAACAAATATATGAAAAAATGTTCAACATCCCTGACAATCAGGGAAATGAAAATCAAAACTACATTAAGAGTTTATCTCACTGTAGTCAGAATGTAATTATTAAGAATACAAATATTAACAAATATTGGCAAGGATGTGAAGGAAAAAGTACACTCAAACATTATCAGTGGGTCTGCAAATTAGTACCACCACTCTGGAAATCAGTATGGAAATTCCTTAGAAAACTAGGAATAGAATCACCATATGACTCAGCTTTCCCACTCCTTGGTACTTATCCAAATGAACTAAAAACAGCATATTAGAGTGATACAGGCACATCAACGTTCATAGCAACACATTCAATATATCCAAGTTATGGAATGTGCCTAGCTATCCCTCATTAGATAAATGAATTAAGAAAATATTGTATATGTACACAACAGAGTTTTACTCAGTCATACAGAAGATGAAATTATGACATTTTCCAGTAAATACGTGGAACTGAGAAACATCATGCTAAGTGAAATCAGCAAGACTCACAAAGCCAAGGGTTGAATGTGTTCTCTCATGCGAAAACTGGAGCAAATTAAGGGGAAAAATGTGGGTGCAGCAGATCTTATGAAAATAGAGGGAAGATCAGTAGGGTAGAGGAAAAAGAGTGAGGAGGAAAGAGAAGGAATGGAAAGGGGAGGAAATGCAGAATGAATTTGACAAAATTAAGTTATGTACATATATAAATACACTACAGTGAATTCTACCGTTGGGGATATCTATAAAGCACCAATTAAAAAAACAATAAATAGAAAGAAGATCAGTAGACTAAGGAAGAGGAATTGCAGAAGGAAAGAGGAAGCACTGGGGACTGAATTGGAGCAAATTAAATTCCATGCATGTATGATTATGTTAAAATGAACCCTATTATTTTTTAACAATACTTTTTTTTTTTTTTGTCCTGGGGACTGAATACAAGGGTACTTTATCACTTAGTCACATCCTCAGCCCTTTTTATTTTTTTATTTTGAGATAGAGTCATGCTAAGTTGCCCAGGCTGGCCTCAAACTTGCAGTGATATAGGCACATCCTGGTTCAGCCTCTTGAGTCCCTGGGATGTGCCACCATGCCCAGCCTGAACCCTACTATTATATGTAACTATAAGGCACTAAAAAAGCATTTTAAAAAGAAAAATAATAACAATAGAGTGGAGATCAGTAGAGTACAGCAAGTGGATCAGAGGGAGGGAGGAAGGGAAGGAAGGAGAAGGTAAAGAGGAATAAGATTGATCAAATTTTGTTATATGATTGTATACATATGGCATAAAGAATATTACTATAATGTATAATTAGTATACACGAATAATATGGTTTTAAAAAGAAAATTGTGTATATCACAATATCTCTAGCACTTTTTTATCATTTGGGAAAAATGGAGTTGGACAAGATGCTTTCCAAAATGCTTGACTGTAATTAAATTATAGGAGTCTATCTGATTGATTAAAAGGTTTACTTTGGCTCAGTCTTGAAGGTTCAGTTCAAGATTGGGTGACACCATTGCTTTGGGCCTTAGGTGGGCATGCAGGAAGGCAATGGTGGGGAACATTGTTCATTTATACATAGGATGCAAAAAAGAAAAAGGAAAAGACCAGGATCCCACAATCTCCTTCCAGGGCATACCTCCAGGGACATACCTCCAGTTAGGCTCCATTAATATTAATTATTATTATTATTATTATTATTATTTTAATAATATATATCCTAATGGTTCTACCACCTCCCAGTACTGCTACCTTGGGACCAAGCTCTTAAAACATGGACCTCAGGGGAATAGTCAAGATCCAAACTATAGACCAATAACGTGTTTTTTGAATTATTAAATGCATTCTCAAGTATGAAAATGAGCTTGGGTTTAGTACTTGCTGTGCCAAACACAGTAGATATGCCTTCCATAATGGTCTTGTGGACATCAGGATGAGAAAGGACAAATGCAAGCGTCCAAAACGCAACCTGAAAAAGAAAAACATATGTCAAAATTAGACTTCTTTGAAAGCAAACAAAAGCTACGAACAAAAGAAATTAGGATAATGTCTAAATTAACCTTAAAAGCATGTTAGAAAAGAGCATCATTGAAGATGACTAGAATTTATGAACTGAAGAGGTGTCATATATCTTCTAGATGTCAAACTTACCAATTTATTCTGTCCTTATGGTTTAATCTATATATTGTTTATATAGATTCAAATATGTTCACTAAAAATAGAAAAAGTGAAATTCCTTTTTACTAATAAGCAACAAAATATTATATAGGCATGCATTAAATATTCAGAAGCAACAAATCATGACATTTAAAAATGTTAATAGAAAACAAAAACAATTTTAAAGATTAAATGAGCCTAAAATACAAACAAATTAGTAAATTTTACTTTTTGCAAACAAAACAGTAATTTAAAATAAGCCCAGGAATCCATATCTAAAATCTTATAAACTAAATGATGATAGTGCTCTACATGAAAAATCAAATCATTTCACACCTGAATGCAGTGGAACACTTTTTATATTTTCAAGTTATCTATTGGCTGATGGAAATTTTTTCATATCTTTACTCAATAAATCATAAGACAAGATTAACACTGCTATTCATCTTAAAATTTAACTTCCTACTCCAATAGATGTTTTTGTTTCTATTCTTAGGTTATACAATAAAGGAAATCTGTACAAAATCATAAAAGAAGATTAGGTTTTCCTTTCAGTTTTTCTATAAAAAAAATAATTGTTGTAAAATAAGTTTCATCTAGGAAACTCAGTCCTGAAGAGACTCAGGCAAAATTATGTGTAATTCAACCTTCTTTCTCTTTTGTAAGGAACATTATGTACTTGAAATCATCCCAGTACTCCCCAGTGTGGTCAAAAGAGGAAGAGCAACCATCTGACAGGAAATGCTCAACAAGCCAAGTGCAACACTGCCCACTGTTTCCCCTTGGTGACATTAAATTAATAGTGCAGTGATTTTATGTGTGTGTCCATGGTACTGTTTACATAAACAAGGTAAACAGGAGAACTCTGCTCTTGCAATCTTCGTGGGGCACAGTTCAGATTAGGAAAGCTTTACCTAGTTCAATCTCACAGATGAAGAAAGAGGTACTCAGAGTTCTCTTTTCCTGTCTCTACACTCAGATCTTTTCTCCTAGAAGTGATGAACTCCTGAATTTAATTAATAAGCACTCATAGAGGATCATCAAGAGATGAATAAGAGGCACCCTGCAACCCCTGGTCCCCCACATAGAAGAAGAACCAAAGTAACAGGTGTATAGCTGCATACTGAGCTGAGTGACCAGAGGAGATTATTGGAATTCAACAGTTGAAAAACAGAAACCTTATAAAATATATATATCTGAGATAGCAGCATAGCAAAAGAAGCAAAATATATCTCAGCACTTGTTGATCCCACTACACGGCCAAGGGAGGGGGAGTCTCCCCTCCATAGGGTAAATATGAAAGAGAGTTCCTACCAAACTCTATCAGGGTGATACTGGAAAATCCTAGCTACTGGAGAGTTTTATAACCCTTATGGGTTTATAGCCTGAATAGAAAAGAATCCTGAAATCTGCAAGGCAGCCAGGCTTTTGAAAAGGAATTCATTTTATCTACTAGTGAACACTTAGAGTGCCATAGCCAGGAGCCATCTAGAGACGGGACCTAGTGTCTGAATCTGGACACCTCCAGGGTCAGGAGCCACTCTATTTTCCATCTCTGGCGTGCCACAGACATTCCACTGCACTGGCTCCACAGGTAGATGCCTCACAAACCAAATTAGGCTCAACAGAATGACTCTGAACAAACCTACTGAGAGTACTACACTGGAGGGGGCAGGTGTTGCAACACTGATGGTCAAGTGAACTCTGCCCTCAAGAACCCAGGGATTAGGGAACCAGCCTTCTGAGACTGCAGATGTGGCTAGTCACATGTGGTTTCTTTTCCTAACAAACCTCTGGTTTCACTGCTCCCCTCCCACAGAGGCATGCTTGGGCAGTCTCAAGCAATACCACTGAGGCTCCAGCTCTTGTCCCATCCTCAGGGTACACAACATAGAGGATCTGGAGAAAAATTTTGCCTAGCATTAGCTGCGTTCAAATCTTACTTGACGCCTGTGAGCATCTCATCTGAGAGGAATTCTGTCCAGCTCCAGCCTTGACCTATCTCACTTGATCCCTGGTAGATACCATAGCTGAAAGCACTGGCATGGAGAGAAAAGGCTCCATCCCCAGGCATGCACAGCGGAGAAATCCGAGGTTCCACTCCTGAGCAAAATGCCCATAGTAGCATCAGAAAGGAACAATGTAACTTTTGTTGTCACAACACCTATGTAGGTCCCATGAACTGGTCGCCTTCTTGTTTGATCACACACTGCTCACAAGACTGGGTGTGAATATCACAGGGGGGTAGCTATGATTCCTGTCCCTACCTCACCCTGTACAGCATTTGAATCTGTATTAGTGTCTTACCAGAGGAAAAGTGTTCAGGCCCCTCACTATTATTGAAGCAGTCAGTACTCCAGACCCTTTTAATCAACTCAGCCAATATCAACAGCCCCAGAGGAAATCCTCAGCAACTGATAGGGCCACCCAAACCACTACAGGAAGAACCACAAGGCAAACCCCACCCACTCTGCTATTGACATCTCGCTTGCTTGAATTGCTAGAGTGTCTCCATGCTTGTATGAGTGGTAAAGACAGTAAGTCTCTCTAACTCCAGTACAGTATGCACTATGCCTAAACTAACCAAACAAAGCTAAAGAAGCTCCAGGAAATTATACTATAATGGCCACCCATAACCAAGTTCAATATTACATAATAAACCATTATCTCAAGAAGCATCTACAGAAGAAAACCACTTATTAAGAAGACCAACCCATTAAAGTTGTAGAGCTATAAGTTTCACTAGATGCATAAATCTCAACTTAGGGACACAGAAAATATGCAAAAACAAAGTTTATGATTCTTCCTAAAGATCATAACTGTCTAGAAACAAATTTCAAAGATATCAAAGTGGATGAAATGACTGATAAGTAATTAAAAATGATGATTTTTAAAAGCCCAATGAGATCCAAGAGAATACAGATAAATAGTTAAATGGAATTAGGTAGACAAATTTGGTATATGAATGATAAATTCAACAAAGAGAGATATTTTGAAAAAGAAAGAATCAAATCTTGGAAATGAAGAGCTCAATAATAATTCAGATTAAAGATAAATTCAGGTAAGAGCTTGGTGGTACAGTGCCATAGCCAGGAGCCTGGCTGGTGGTACAGTTCAGTACGAAGGTTCAGAATGACAGCTCTTGCCTAGTGGGCACAAGACACTGGGTTCAAATCCTAGAACTAGAAAATAACAGTAGTAATAATAACAATTAAAAACAAAAAAATAAAAATTCAACTGAAAGCCTCAACTACAGACCAGATCAAGTATAGCTGAGGCTCCAGCTCTTGTCCCATCAATATTACATAATAAACCATTATCTCAAGAAGCATCTACAGAAGAAAACCACTTACTAAGAAGACCAACCCATAAAAGTTGTAGAGCAAAAGATAGGTCTTTTGAAATATCACATACAGACAGAAATAAGAAAAAAAATATATAAAAGAATAAACACAGCTTTCAAGATTTTGGGGGCACCATCAAAAGATCAATACCTGGGTGCAGTAGCACATACCTATATGATCCCAGTGACTCCGGAGGCTGAGGCAAGAGGATCACGAGTTTAAAGCCAGCCTCATCAAAAGTGAGGCTCTAAGCAACTCAGTGAGACCCTGTCTCTAAATAAAACACATAATAGGGCTGGGGTAGTTGAGTGCCCATGAGTTCAATCCCTGGAACCAAAAAACAAATAAATAAATAAGATCAACACCCCATATCATCGGCATAACCAAAGGGGGAAAACAAAGGCTAATGGCACTGAAAGTCTATTTAATGAAACAATAGAAAACTTCCCTGATTTGGAGAAATAGGTGGACATCCAGATAATGGAGGGTTTATAGAACCTCAAATAGACATGATCAGAAAAACATTCTCACCATGATGTACTCTACTCAAACTCTCACTGTCAAATGTGCAGAACAAAGAATTTTAAAATATGCAAGAGAAAATAACAAGTCACATTTAAGTGCAATGCCACTAGCCTAACAACAGATTTCTTGGAAGAAGTTCTACAAACCAGGAAGGCATGAAATTATGTATTTCAAGCCCTATAAAATAAAACAAAACAAAACACAAGTGAGGCTATATACCCTATAAAGCTATCAATTAGAATGGAAGAAGAAATAAAGACCTCCCAAGATAAGTGAAAATTAAGGGAATTCATGACCATCAGACCATGAATCGTCTCCAAAAAAAGGTGCTTAAGGGTGTCCTACACTTGAAAATAGAAGAAAAATACCATCATCATAGCATGTAACAGTATAAATCCCACTGGAGGAATAGATACATAAATGAGACGTAGAAAATATTAAAATGTTATTGTTATGGTTTAAATATGAGGTATCCCCCCAAAGTTCCTATGTTAATGCAGGAATATGCAGAAGTAAAATTATTTAATTAACGAGAGATATAACCTAATCATTCCATCCTAATTAAATGGAATAAGTGGGTGATAATGTAGACAGGTGGGACATGCTAGAGAGAGGAAGTGGGTCACTGGGAGCACCCTAGAAGGATTTACCTTCTGTTTGACCCTCTTCTTCCCACCTTTCTCTGCTTCCTGGCTGCCATGGTTGGAGTAGCACTCCTCCACCATGCCCTTCTCTCATGATATTCTGCCTTGGGCGCAAGCAATGGAGATTGCCCACCATGGACTAAAACTCTCACATATGAGCTAAAATAAACTTTTCCTCATCTAAGTTGTCCTTTTCATGTATTTTAGTCTCAGAAACAAAAAGCTGATTAACAAAGTTATCAATATAGTAAACTATCAAATCACAAAGAGGAAAGAGAGGAAGAAACAAATATTCCATC